TAGAGCTCTGGTGTAGATGCCGAGTATCGATTTTCTGCTGTTATTCTATAGACAAATGTCCCATAACTGGACAACTAGAAAACAGTCTACATAGTAGGAGCTGTGAGCAAAACTTACCCCCCCCCCCCCGCGCCAATATCTTCCCTCTGTCTGTCTGAGTCTAGTCTGCAGGCAGTGGCTCGCAGTCCGGAGGTAGTTAGGCCAAGTGACGGCGCCTTGGCCCGAGGTGTCTGGTCACTGTGGTTAAGTCGTGCCCTGAGGATCACTATGTCTGCCCTGTAGCTGGTAGCCACCTCCTGCAATCCCAGCACTTGGAAGGCAGAAGTAGGAGGATGCCTGAGAATTTGAGACTAGCCCAAATTTGAATTTGAGGCCAGTGAGACCGTGTCCCAAGAAAACTAAAAATAGCAAAAAACAGAACAGTGTTTGTATTGTGATTGTTTTAACCCCAAATGTTGCACTCCAGGGACCTGGCTTAGCTGGGATTCCACGTCTGCTTTGATGGTGAACTGTATTGCTATTCCAACCTTGAAATCTATGTCCTCTGGTTGGTTGGCACCTGGTTTTCATTGTCACCCATTTCAGTGAACCAGATTCTGGGTTGGGTCTGTGGCAAGCAGCCCTATGGTCCCTTTGTCATCTGGAGCCATCTTGAGACTCATGCCAGAGCTTTGAAATGACTTATTAGCCTACTTCAGTGCTTCTGGGAGAAACAGCCCGGTGTCACCCATGTTTCAACTTTCTTTTTCGTCTTGTTTTGTTTTTGAGATAGTATATTGAACCCTAGCTTAGACTGACCTGGAACCCAGAGACTCTTCTACCTCTTTCTTTTAAATGCTGGGATTATAGTCGTGAGGACACACACACACACAGGCATGCACATTAAATTAGGCACTACCTACAAACAAAAGCTTAACTAGCTGGGGCAGGCTCATGTGTGGGTAATTAATTCCTAAGCTGGGGCACTTGTTCCAGACCAGCCTAAGCTACACAGTGCTCAGTGCTACACCGGGCTAGTGAGCTTGAGGCTAGTATGCGTTGCCAAACAGTGAAACCCTATCTCAGAAACCCAACCACTGCCACCCCAGCCCAAATTCAAAACCCAGATAAAAAGCAAATCTATGCCAGCCCTCGGCTTTGGGACGCAGTGCTTGGAACATTTTGCAGGGTTCATAGATTTTTCTCTGCTCAGTTGCATATGTGAACCACCTTTGTGGAAGCAGCTAAATCCTGGAATGGTTGGAACAGAATTTCTTGAGAGTTTCTAAACCAGAGTCAGTCTGTGGCTCTAAGGCAAAGGGAAATGGGCCCTGTTCCCAAATACAGCACTGCTCTGCCCCCTGCTGTTGGCTACAGTGTCATTATCCTTTTAACTTGAAATTTTTCAAGGGAGAGAGGCCTGGATTGGCAGGGGACTTCAGCAGGTTTTTTTTTTTTTTCTTCCTTTCTTAATTCCTGGAATACGTGGAAAACCAACTCTGTCAAAAGATCAGCAGGTGACGCTCATATTCTTAAGCTGAAGGCCTGCCCAGGCTTTGGTGCTGAGCGGTAGAGCAGACTGTCGGAGGAGAGACAGGGACGCCCTCTGTGACTTTTGTGGCAGGGGCGGGGCAGGGTCTACTCGAAATGCTGGCCCCATTGTGGTTGCCCGGAGACTGAGGGGCTATCAGAACCGCGCCCGGAGATGCCCAGAAGAGGTGGGTTGTGTGGCACCAGCTCGCTTGGAGGTGTCTGCGGTGAGCACAGGATAGGGCCTCTGCAGCTGCAGGTAGACAGGTAGAAGAGGAAATCGTGGGTCTGGTCTGGTCACCAAGGAGGTGGGTTGCTCAGTGAGGGACCCTGTGCTGTTTGGCTTCTGTAGACTCCAGCTACTTCTGGTGGGGGTGGCTCTCGGGAGGGGCCGTGGGGCGGCAAGCAGCGGAGTCCGATCGTCCCCGGTGGTCGTCATCCCCCTCCACCCTGCTTGACCAGTCCCCGGGGTAGAGGCGACAGAATTGCGCCCCGCCCCCGCCGCCCGTACCCACACCAAGACGCACACGCTCCTTAATCTCCCCCGCCCCCGGTTGTCCGGGCGACGGCCCAGACGAGCAGGTGATGCATTGACAGCGAGCAGATGGTCCCCCGTGGAGGCGAGCGCGGCCCACAAAGCGCCCAGCGCAGCGATCCCACAGCGCCGCCCCCGCCCCGTGGCCCGCGCTGCCCGCATGCTAATAGGGGTCGGGGGAGGGGTCTGGGGTGGGGCCAGGAGCCCTGGGCACGCCCCCTGTCCTTTGCAGTCACTTCACCTCTTTTTTTTTTTTTTTTTTTTTTTTAAATCCTGAATGCCCTCTCCAAATCCCCACATCTGAAGTTTTCCTATCGCACACCCAGCGCGCTTCTTCCCTCTCCGAACTGTCTCCAAGCGGATCCAGGTTGCCCACCATCTCCCCTCCCCCGTACACACACCCTCTGCCTTTCTCCCATCCTGCAGTTGCAGGGACCACTTTTACTCCCTGCTGGCATTTCATGGTTGATCTGGGCAGACTAGAGGAATGGGTTTACCACAGCCCAGCCTTGATCCCTGCTTCTAGAACGGGCACTGGCATGGCCAAATGTGTAAAGACACCCGCCCCCGTCCCGCCCCCACCCCCTATCCCCAATGCTTCAGGGCCTTTCAGGCTGCTACTTCTCGGGACTTTCCCTTCTGGAAGTTCAAAAATAAATCACTCTCTGGTGACGACGGTACTACCCCTCCTGGGAAGCCCTCCCATTCACACACCCTGCTCCCATTCATTTGACACACACACCCCCCTTCTGTACTCTATTCACCGCTGTGTGGCAAATTGCGGCTATCTTATAGGAAGGGCATGAAAACTGCTAGGCACTCTTCACAATTTTAATACCGTACCTCATAGCTGTCACATAAATTCATTGCCCGGCCTACTCTATAATGGCCACGAAATAACTTTAAGAGAAGAGGGGGGCGTCCGACGCCGGTGCCACTGCATCTTTCTTTGATTTGCAGGTGCTCCCACCCCCTTTAAACCATTGCTACAGTAACTGCAGATAGCTTTCTTTTTCTTTTATAACTGTCACACAGAGCGCTTTTAAAAAAGCCATCCTTCTCCTTTTTATTTTACAGTAGATAAAAAAATGCCAAATGCCAATGAAGGCTTTAAAAAGAAAAAAAAAGCAATGGGAAAAGAAAGCGAAAAAGAGACTAGTGAATGAAGTTGGGACAATACGGGTCACAGAGCTGTCGAAACTAATGTCATAGTGCGGCTGCTGGGCGGGGGTACAGAAAACTTCTTGTTTCTTGATTTCTATGGAGATTTGGTGTGTGGTACAAGCACTCCCTGAACAGGTTCAGAACAAGCGGGACAGAAAGAACTCACAATGAACTCCCCTCCGATGGCCTTTCTGCCCACAAACACCTGTGATTTACAAAGCAGCATTTTGGAGGACAAAGAAGGGCCAGAGGGCCGGGCTATTGTTGGGAAAGGGACGCCTCTTGTAGTCAAGGCTGTAGGAGAGAGTTGTTTTATTTTAAAACGTGTCCTAGGTCCTTGCTACACAAATGTACAACCAGGGAAAATAAAGCAGCTCTTCTGAGGGCCCTGCAGGACTTTCTCAAATGGCTCTTCCTAATATGAGCCAGTGTTTCTGCTAAATTCTGAAAACTAGTGGAATTCACTAGAATTCAAAGAGAGTCGATTTATACAATCCTCCTAGGTAGGAGAGTTAGTAGCCATCACCGAACACATAGAAATAAGTAGCTAGGATATTTATTTTGAAGATGTATACTGTTTGCATTTATTTGAAAACTTATGAGAGTGTAGTTCTTTCTTTTGGAAGGTAAAAATTTTATGTTTATCTTCTTTGTCTTTCACTTTCCTTTCTTTTTTCTTTTCTTTCTTTCTTTTTCTTTCTTTCTTTTTTTTTTTTTACAAGGTCTCTCTATGTAGCCCCAGCTGTCCTGGAACTTGCCATGTAGGACAGACTGGTCTTGAACTCACAGAGAATTCTCCTGAGTGATGGCATTAAGCGTGTGCACCACCACACCTGACTGCTTATCTTCCTAGTGTTGGGATTTAGTCTTATTGTTTGAAGGTTTTCTTTTCCTGTTTCCCGTTCTGACTTTCCTCTGTTCTCTGTCGTCTCCTTCCCAGGGAGTTAGAAAGATGGGAAAGCAGATCAAACTGAGGCGATAATTTTGAATTGGGTGAGATTCTCTTCACTCAGGATAACTAAAAAAGGCCAGAGTCAACTGTGACCTGAAACTGGTTAAGAAGCTGGGGAGCAAAGAGTCACGTGACCAGCAGAGGCCCTGCAAGGGTCTCAAGTCACTGTCAGAAGGTTGTTAGGCCGGAGCATTGTGGGAGCGAGAAGAATTTTGAGCCAGAGCTGGAGAGGTTGGCTTGGGTCAGTTAGGAAGGCCGTTTGTGGGACCTGGAGGGAGGGAAAGGCTTTTATTCTAAAAGAGAGAGCTGGAGAGGATTTTGAGGGATGTTCATGACTGGACTTGGCGTTTCAAGATGATCACTACTGCTCTGTGGAGCATTAGTTTGCTGTGTGATGTTTCAACGGCGTGCCACAGAGATGGATGGATGAATGATTTGGCTTGCAGTTCTGATGGTTGATTTCAAGAGCCTGGGTGGAGCTTGGCATTGGGCTGTCTTATACCACGGAGGAAGGCAGATGGGCAAGAGTCAGCTAAACAAGGGAGAGGGAGAGATAGGTAGGAGAGAGAGAGAGAGAGAGAGAGAGAGAGAGAGAGAGAGAGCAAGAACGAACCCGGAGCCTCAAACCCTTTTATAATGAACACTGACCAATTTATGAGATGATCGTGGAGCCCTTGTGGACTGAACGGCAGGACTAGACATGCTATGGCCACTGTCAGAAGGCTAGTCATTTAGACAAAGCATCTATGGTTTCTTGGAGAAAACTGTGTTAACAGAAATGAAGAGAACGGATGCTTTGGATCTGTGTTAGGGAAAACCGATCAGATCTGAGGAATGAAAATGCATGGCTGGGCTGAAGAGACCGAGCAGCAGCAAGGACAACCTCTTGCGGCTGGACGCTCAGTGGGTGGTGTCCTTTATGGAGAAGGTGCGAACCAGCCTGTGGTGGGCAAGTCAAGTCTTCAGTTTCAGCGTGGTTAAGTTTGAGCTATGGCGGGCGTAGGGTCACACAGCTGACTTCTGAGGGAAGGGACGGTCATTTTCTGGCTTCCTGCAGACCTGTGATGTGATGTGACATAAAGACAAGCTAGGCCCCTCTGCACTGGGAACCGGAAAGGCTGATTCAATCTGACAGGCAATCCGGAGGAAGTCTTGAGGAGTCAGGGGCTAGGAAAGGAACCATGAGGGCGATAGTGAATGGATGGAGTGAACACGTAGGAACCTACAAACTAGAGCAGAGAGGAAACCCTTGGTGAGAGGAAAGAGGTTGACGGACAGAAACAAGAAGAAGGTGTGCCACGGGCTTGGAGGTGTTTGGGGGCAAACAGCTGTAATGGCATGCAGCTGAGGTGGTTGTAGCCGCCTTCCACAATGCTCAGTTTTTGAATTTGAGAAGCACCATGCAATGACTGGCAAGTCTATTTAAGAGTACACACACACACACACACACACACACACACACACCTAACATTGAGAATGGAAAGGCATCTCCACGTGGGTGGGAACTGAGAACTGAACCTGGGTCTTCTGCAAGAGCAACAAGTGAGCTATATCTTAAGCACTGAGCCTTCTCTCTACCTCACAATAGTTATTCTTTTTAAAACTTATTTTTGGTTTTTTTGAGACAGGGTTTCTCTGTGTAGCCCTGGCTGTTTCAGAACTCACTCTGCAGACCAGGCTGGCCTCGAACTCAGAGATCCTCCAGGCCTGTACTACCACTCCACCACTCCAAACTCTTTAAAATTAATTAATTAATTGTAATTATTCTTTATACAAGTTTAAAATATATTTAAAAATGTATATTTTTGGCAGTTTTATACACGAATGCAACAAATTTTAGTCATTCTTACCCCTATTAACGTTCTTTTACTCTGTCCCCATTGAGATAATAAAGTATTCATTGTCATAGTTAGCAATAAAAACACTAGGGGACTCATAAGCCAGAGTGACAAAATCAGATGATGTCACTATTGGTTGGGAGTGTTCCAACATTGTAAGCAATTCAGGCAGACATGAGCAGACATAAGTGGCAGAGCCTGTGGAAATGAACAAGGTCACTAACTCCAATCAACACTTCTCACTAATAAAATCTGGAAAAACAAGATGAGACACAGAAATGTTCAAGATCAAGAATAAAGGAGTAGATTTCCAGTAAAACGCACCCTACAGAAGTGCAACCCGAGAGGGGTAGAATTCACAAATATGTCTTTGGAATCTGGAGTCTCTGCGTCCCTCAACTCAAAACCAGAGAGGCTGGACCTTCTCTCTGAAGAGAAATGGATAGCTGTAGGCTGCCTCTTCTTGTTAGCATGAAAACTTTAAGTTAGTGTACAAAGTAGTGGGTTTCATGGTTCAGGGGCTCTCCAGCCAGGCAGTGGTGGGGCATGCCTTTAACCCAGCACTCGGGAGGCAGAGGCAAGTGGATCTCTGTGAGTTCAAGGCCAGCCTGGTCTACACAGTGAGTTGTAGTCTAACCAAGACTACATAGCAAGACTATGCTTCCAAAATAAAAAAACCCAAAGCAAAGCCAAACAAAGCGAGAATAAGTTTTTTTTTTAATCAATAGTTACTCAAGTATGTTAAGAGACAAGAAATTTCAACCATACACAAACTCCTATCACTGGCTTGGAAAAGTGAATATCCTAAGTCCTCTTATGGGACGAGCAAATCCTTGATGAAAATGTAAAACTATAAAGGTGGGGGTAGAATGAACTTCACTCATGATCACTAAAAAATAAAATAAAACTAATATTGTGATAGTAATGCATCCCAGCACTGAAAAGAAACATGGTATGACCACGAATGCTTGACTGCCTTAAGGTCATGAATTTTGATAGCACGACATCACATGAACAGGTTAGCAATGAAAACATGATCCTAAAACATGCAGAGAACACTGAGCTGAATTCACCATCTGTTCCAAGTTTAAAATAAAAAAAAAAAAACAAGAACCCTTACGAACTGAATGGAAGCAGGTCTGCTTAACCTTACAAATACATCTACGAAACAGTTAAAAAATATGACACACTTTATCTCTGAAGCATGGAAACGCAACAATTCTTTTAAACATCAGAAAACAACAAGGACTATCCAACTTGTGGGCAGACTGTATGTTTGGGGCCTCCCCTGCTTGAATGTGAGCACCTGCTGTTCTGTCCGTGTTATCCCATGTCATTTCTGTACTCATTCTTTTCCTTCCTAGTTATTCAACCCTCCACAGACACTTTCGTATCTTGCTTTCTGTAATAGAAATATCTTCGGACTCAAGTCTCGGAACTACAAATGCAAAATTGTTTGCTAAGGATGAGCACAAGTAGGAAGCACAGGAAGCTACTGGAGACGTAGACAGGGCTTGTCCTTCTGAGACGTTTCAGTTGATCAGAGTGTTCCCCAATTTCTGTTGGCCTCTCCTGTCTACCTAGAACACTCTGAGAATCCTAGAATCTTCCAGAACCCACTGTGAGGGATACACTAATGTAGACCTATGATATTGACTTCATAATAAGTCTGTTTTGGGGAGAAACTGCAGTGGGCACCATCACAGCTTCACCTAGCGCAAACTCAAGCTAGTGCAGAAAGGAAAAAAATTGAAGGCTTAGATCTTTGAAAGAAAGAACAGCTGTCAATATTAGCAAGACATACAAACAACCATTCTCAGTAATCTACAGACACATTTCAGCATTACTATGAAAGTATTAGCTAGCTCGCAGTTTAAGGTTCTCCCCCAAAGGGGGTAAGAGATAGTTTAATCTGGAGCCAAATATGAGTGACCGTAGTAGGTTACTTCAAATTTCATGTCTCAGTGAGGCACTAGTTTCATGAAGCTTTTAAAAGTACAGAATAAAGAAAGTTATAAAACAAGGTAAGATACTTTACAAACACATTGGTGGAAACATCAGAGCAGGGAATTTCTGCTGTAAGCCTCAGATGCTGTCTCAAGATATTTTCAGCCCTTGGGTTGGTGGACTCTCTTGGTCTATAACCACATTTCCAAAGGTTTACCTAATGGTCCTGAGGATGTTAGGCCATACAACTGCATTTTTATACCCTGAAAATGATTTGAAAAATGCACACACTTGTAACTAACTCCAGTATTGGAGGCCAGTCTGGGCTACATAGTTATACTCTTTGCCAAAGGGAAAAAAAGAACATTCCAATGCAAAAAATAAAACAAAATCAATAAACCAAAACAAACCCTAGCATTCCCTAGAATAGGGAATCTCCATCTTATAAACAGATAATCTTACATTTTGAAAAGTATGAAGGTTTATCAGAATTCATTGTCAAGAAGTAACATGCTTTAGGTAGGATGACATTGTATCTTAATAGATCATTGTTACTTCATTGTAACCAGGTACACCATTGTAGCTGGTCTTTTCTCCATCTGTTGTTACAGGAGATCGAACTCACAGCCGGACACCTAAAGTGGCTGATCTGGAGAGATGGGAGAAGCGTTTAACTAAATACCAGACCCTTCAACAGGATGCAGGTAGTGTGTAAACGTGTTTTTGATTCATTTATTTATTTTTTGATCAGTGGGTTTGTTCCAGGTCAACCATTTATTTTGATTCTTGAATGCTATGGGTATCACGGTCTGAAATATCTACCCACTCGCCTGCAGAGATGTGTGAAATATGCAGGAGAGAGCATAACTGAGCGTGCCTTTAGAACATACCATTTTTTCCCACTCCAACTAAACCTTACATGTCTGTTAAGCAACTGGAGACACAGCCCTCACCTTCTTGGACATTCTTTTATGTAATTGCTAATGTAAGCCCACGCCATATGTGAGTCGTATATGGAGTTAAAGCACCTGATGATGTCCCTGAGTCGTACAAGTTCATGTTTTGAACAGAAAAGTAAAACAAAACAAAACAAAAAAACAAAAAAAACCCCCAAAAAACAAAAAAAAACTACTGTTGTGTAAAGACAGTGAGAAAGCTGAGCTGGTGAGGAGGACAACCCCCCCCCCCTTCCTGGAACAAAGCTCAGCAAACCTCCCACCTTAAAAGATTTTTTAGCCCTGAAGGTCACACGTCCAACACGCCTTTTGGGTTAAAAATTGAGTGCTGAGTGTCCTCTGGTACTTCCCGAAGACTTTGCACTTCTCCATCACGGTCAGCTTCTCGACCCTACCCAATCATGGCCCCTGCTGCCTCTCCTCATCAAAGCCAGCAGCTGTGGGTTGAGTCCCTGAGTGGCCTTGACCAAGCCTCTACTGACTCCTCCTTAGACAGTTTAGGACCCTTGAACTCCCCTGGGGCTAATCCCACCTCACCCTTAACTAATTACAGTTGCAAAGCTCCCTTGAGTCAAGAAAGAGCGATGTTCAGACAGCGGGGGTGGGGGGTTAGGGAGCAAGCACCTGGAGGGGTGCTGAGAAGGAAGGGAACAGTTGACATCACTTCCCATCTCCTCTGCTTGCTCTGTGCTGGCTGTCTCGCCACAACCTAGCCTCTGTGGTCGCTTTGACAGCCGTGGCTTTCCCTGTGTTTTGGTGGATTATATTCTGTCTTGTGTCAGCAGGGCTAGAACGTCAGATGGGCTCCATCTTCAGTGCTAATTCTAGTGGGATATAGGTGCCGGTTTGTAACGTTGTGTTGAGACCGTATCAGCTACTCTTCATATCGCTGTCGACCGAATGCCTGAAAACCAGCAGCTTCCAGGAGCAGGGCTTTGTTTTGGCTTACAGTTTGAGAAGATGTCCTCTGACATGACGGAGCAGGCATGAGAACAGGGCTGGTGGCACTGTGTTTGCGGTTAGACAGCCAAGACTGGACGACAGGAGGGGGATCTGGGCTTAGCTGTCCACTCCGGTGAGGCTTCGACTCCTAAAGGTTGCACAACCTTCAGAAACAGCCCCGCCAGGTGGGCGTCAGGAAACGGTTTATTAAATGTATTATTAAATGAGTTATTAAATGTATTAAAATATTTGACTGCATTTGGGTTACATTTTGGACACAGGAAATTACGCGTTCTTCTTTTCAGAGTATGCTGTGTACCAAGGGCTTCTAATTTGTTTGGCTCAAAGATTATTTCTGTTGTGCACCCATTGCCACGTCAGACCAAACTCTAACAAGCCTGTTCACCGAGGGCAATGACATCTTCTACCACCTCCCCGACCCCACATCGTGGCCCAGACAGTTTTACCCTACGCGGATAGGGACAGTGACATGACTGGAATTTAGATTCTGAACTTAGTCATTCATGGGGATCCCTCTTTTCGGTGTGAGGGGTGTCAAATCAGAGTCACTCTGAAAACAATTATCAGGCACTAGTATTGTCGAACCTTGCCGAGCAATGGCACTGGGCCTCCCATTTTGTGGGTGGGTGGGGGTTCCGTTTCTTCATCTTTGGCCTAAGTTACTTAGCAATGACTGACTGAACTATGCGGCCGCCATATTGCTTTTGCATGTTTGACCAGAACATTGACAGATTAATAGGAAGGGTAAATAGCAACAACGGCAGGGGCCCAGTGTGGGGCAGCAGGATTGACTGCGCTGGACTGGGTCGTGTTTGCTCAGAGGAGGCCGAAGCAAAAGCCTGCTGGGAGGAGGTGACTCGGGTCATGGGCATTTGTTTCTCATCTCTATAGAAAATTGTCTTCTCAATGGAAGGTGGCTTTTTCTGAGTCTACATGGTTCTACTGACGGGGAGGGGGCATTTGCCATTCCAGAGTGCTGGCTAAATCACACACCAATGGAAAGGCCACACAAAAATTCAAAGGTGCTAAATTCCTCAGAGATCCTTTGACTTCGATCGAAGGAGAGAAAGTTCATCACCTATTCACTGCCTACACCTAATATTTGATATTCAGAATTTTATGAAGTTTCAGGATGAGCCGGCTCTCTTCCCTCCTCCTGATCCATGAAGGCAGAGCCCTGGACATTTAGCTCTTTTGGATTCACAAGCCCTGGTTTAGGGGAAACCTATTTTTGACTCAAATTTCTTCTCCGAATTTATGTGGATGAGGTATCTTGAAATAAGGGGAAAGATCTCCTTTGGGCAAAACTGAACCAGCAGTGTAGGCTTCAACGAAAGGCAAAGCTGTATTTCCGGGTGACAATTCTTTGAAGATGGACGCTTTTACATTTCAGCACTAACCTAGTTCTTCATAGCGTGGCTTATTTCCAGTAAAAGACCCAAAGCTTCCACACAGTTTGATTAGCCATTCGTGGTCTGTCTGTCCCGGCCCCATTGCGTATGTGTGCACATGCATTTATGTGCACAGATACATAAATCTTTCTTTGAATTTCCCAGACACTCTTCTTGAGACGGCAGGAGGGAAGGGAACGGGGTGACATTCACGGCCTCTCCTTCTGGCTGTCTTTCTTCCTTGTTGTGTCTGGACAGATACTCTTTTCTGACATCCGTTATCTGTTTTGCATCCCTTCTCTCTCGCCTCAGTTTGGCTCGCCGTTTTCTCCTTTCTCTTCTCAGCGCTCAAGGATAAGGAGCTGCGCGGCAGCATTGTGTGTAGCGGCGGTGGGAACCATCTCAGCTCCCATAGGCTTCTCAAACTGAAAAGCCGTTGCGAGTTGTCTGTTTCCCCCTCAAACAGCGTTGCAGAGTTTGTGCCGAAACACACGGTGTGGGTAATTCAGTTGAGGCGTAGACCGTGGTTTTCTGCTGCCTCGCAGCGTCTGGACTGAGGTTGATGGGGAGTCCCTCACATGCCAGCCGCCTGAGCTGGGCTGACTTAAAGCTTTTGTTTATTTGAAATTGTCTTTCAGTGTATCTACCCACTTTTTATTGGGTGCGGACGTCTTCGGGGTTTGGTGGTATCAAGGCAGAGGGCTCTCTCAGGTGGTGGCTGATGACCGCAAGAGTAGCTCTTCCCCGCAGACGAGGAGGAAGCTCCGTGGCCTTTAATCAATTAGCACAGAGCCAGAGAACGCATCACCTTAAAATGCAGCTGGCTGTGGCAGTCAGAACCACCTAGGTTCAAGAGAAGGGAGCAAAGATCTTTCTGCTCATTGCAAAGAAGAATTCGGGGCTATGCTCTACAACAGGGCTGAGAAAGAAGAATCTGGAATGGGTTGGGTGACATCCCAACTTGAGTATGTCCTTGAAAATGACTTCCTTTGGACACCCGCCATCAGCTTGACCCTGAGCTCCAGAAGTAACCTCTCCTTGATCCTAGGTAACCCTCTAAGTACAGCTTCACAGCCACTGAGTGTTCCCTGAAGGGTCTCCAAGCGTCCCCTGGAGGGTGCGCCCAGCACCCAGCAGTTTTTTTGATCTTACCATGTGGAAGGGAAGAAACAAGAGGTGCAAACTTGTTTCAGAATAAATTAAAGCCAAGTGGCACTAGGAAGCTCAGTAGCCCTGTTGTAGAGCACGGTCCCGGATTCTGTTTTCTTAATTTTCACAATGACCCAACTGCATGTCATTTACTTACAGCCGGATATCAGATGATTTCCTAAAGACGGAGAAAAACTCAGACTCAGAGAACTTACCCACTTTGCCTGGTCTCACCAAGATGGCAAGTGATATCATCAGAGCTCACACTCACCTGAGTGGCTCTGCAGGCCCAGTTCTTGCCCACAACTCTGCCTAGACCCTAGACCATAAGAAGCAAAGATGTCGAGGTACCAAATTTAGGACAGCTTCGACAGGTGGACTTCCCACCCGTGAGTGGAGCACTGAGTCTAAGATTTCTCTGTCATGTGACAAGCAAACCAACAGTGTCCTTACCTATGTCAAGCAGTCTGTGTGTTTCTTAAAGGCAGCAGCACAGAGGGGTTGCATTACTATACAGTAGTCTTTAAATAAAAAAAAATACTTAAAATTGATTTATTTTTATTTATATATGTCAGTGCTATGTCTGTGTGGGATCACATGTGCACAAGTGCAGGTGCCTGCAGAAGTCAGAAGCGGGCGTCTAAATGCCCTGGAGCTGGACTTACAGGCAATTGTGAACCCTCGGGCGTGGGTTCTGGGGACCAAACTCTGGTCCTCTGCAAGCAGAGTGAAGTTCTCGTAACCTCTGCAAGGGCTCCCCAACCTCTACAGAACCTCGTGTGCGGGTTTTCAGGGTACGTAAGAAAGGGAAGAAAGAGTAATGATTTATTACATATTGTCAAGTTATGGGAGCCTTCTTTTCCGGCTGTAGTTGCCACTTCTTCATCTGGCCTTAGGCAATGTTCTGTAGTTTGTCAAGGGCAGAAGTAACTCGGCTTTCGAGACAATCTTTAGAGAGTTTAGCAGATCTGTTTAGTGAATCTTAAATCCACTGAAACTACTTTGGGTCTAGATTAAGCAGAAAAGCAAAAAAGATTAGGAATGAGGTTTTTTTTCTTTCAAAGATCCTATATTGGCATAGCACCGCAGTCTTCATGTCTTACACACACAGATACACACACACAGACACACACACACACTTAGATACACATACAGATACACAGAAACACAGACACAAATATACACACATAGACACATACACACAGATGTATACAGACACACATAAATACACACAGACACACAGACACACACACTGTGTAGGAATTGAAGCCTGGGCTTAGCATATATGCTGGGCAAGAGGTCGATCACTGAGCTAAACCCATCGCCGCCTACACACATTTACTTTTGAATCTGAAGACAGCTCTGGGAGGAAAGAAGCCAGAGAGTTCTATAAATAGCTGTCCATTTGTGGAAATGAAAAGGCTGAAAGGTTCAAACGTGTCATACGGAGGACGGGACATGGGCGAAGGCATTCACCTCCGATCTCAGTTTTATGTAGTGAGAGGCAGAGCTCAGGCAAGCCAATCCGTTGCCTGAGAAGACACAGAAAGTAAATGCAGAGTTGGGGCAAGCCTTCGAGTTCTTTGACTCCCGCATCAGAACTCTTCCGGCCACGCCCCAGTAGCTCCAGTTCCAGGAGCGTAAGTGCAGACATCAGGGATGTGCCAACACTGGTGTCCACACATCTGTGAGAGGTATGGAAATGCTTGCGATGCAAAGTGTGTCTGGAAGGCCGGCCCTGCAGATTTCTCCAATCAGGAACCTATTGTTCAGCTTCTCAGTGGCACTAAAATTCCTGGGATCTCATCTGTAAGCCCATGATAGTGCTCATCCTCTGAGGTGGACAATGTGGCGCAGGGGCGGGCTAGCAGGGGAGGTGCTGCCTGAGAAGAGACCCGTTTCCGTTCCCAGGCACAGCGCTTAGATTGTTTGCTCTTTTGCATTCTCTTCAGCTGTCTGTTTGAAATGACATATGCGTGTAAGAGTCCAAAATAAAACCTCACCATCATTTACAGCCGACAAGGCACACAACTTTGTTCTCATAAAACATCGTGTTACGTCACTGGAGGCTAGAAGTAGGGCAGAGTTTCAAAAACAGGCTGCGGTGTCACAAAAGCCATGGGAGCAAAGAAGCGACCTCATGGTATTAAGGGAGGCTGTGATAAATCTTCAACAGACTATAGAGTATACAGAGAAAGCTCTAAATGGTCTCAGAAAGTGACGCCTAACATGCCCCTGCCCTGCCTCTCCCGGATGCTAAGCATGCAGTCTTGTAAGAGGTCTCGAGCCCAGCACCAGTGACCTTGCATTCAATGTCACACCGTCTCAAGGTTTTACAGGATGTGACATCCACGTTTATGCCCACAGACACAGATATTTAGCTATTCATGTACAGACGGGTCTTCTTCGTCTGCTTATAATGTAGGTTGTTAGTAACTCAAAACACACATTTTCTCATAGAAAATGTCTGCCCCCAAATATTTACCAAATGGCCACAGCTGAGCTTTGAAGTGGCTCAGTTGTGTATGGAGGCTCTAAAGGTAACTTCGGAAACCTTGTGTGTGTGTGTGTGTGTGTGTGTGTGTGTGTGTGTGTGTGTGTGTGTGTGAGAGAGAGAGAGAGAGAGAGAGAGAGAGAGAGAGAGAGAGAGAGGTTCACATATGATAGTAGTGCACGCGAAGCTCGGAAGACAACACTCCTCATTTTCTCCTGTGGGTGGCTCCTATGGGAAACCCGTTCATTTTATCCATGTTTGCCTTCTGTTTCTCAGAGGATCTGACCTTTCCCAGAGGCCACTGTCATCTTCTAAGCTTTCAGCGTGTGAGTGTAAAACAGGATTCTTGTTCTCAGGTGTGAAGGTGACCCGCTCAGGTTCTCTGGGTAGATGGGTTCTGTGACATGAGTGGCTGTTCTGCATAGCCTCCTTGGTAAGGCAGCGCTGCCCAGAGCCCTTTGACCCATCCGAGAACCTGAAGTCAGCTTGCGAGAGGCATGCGTGCGTGCGTGCGTGCGTGTGTGTGTGTGTGTGTGGTGCACACGTGTGAGCACACACACGGGGTAGAGATCAATGTTGGTTGTCTTCCTCATTCACTCTCTTATTCTTTCAGACAGGGTTTTTCATTGAGCCTGGAACTTACCGATTCACCAAGACTAGCTGGCTCTAGTAAGCGCCGAGTCCCCCCCCCCCCCCCCCCCCCCCCCGTGTTCTTCGCTAGGATTATATGGGCATGCCAATCACGCCTAGCCTTTTATGGGAGTGCCAGGCTCCAAGCTCAGCTTCTCAGGCAGGGCAAGCCCTTTACTAAATGAGACATCTTTCTGGCCTCAGAACTTGTTTTGAAACACAGAGGTCCCTGGCAGAGGTGACTGAGAGCAAGACGTAGGGACCATCAGGAAGGCTCATAAAACCTGGTGCTTTCAGTGTGTTGTTAGATGGACAAGTCCTCTCAGGCAGATATGACCTGAGTCCGAAGGGGCGGGGCTCAGAGTGTGAGCCACGCCCAACCCTACACACCTGACAGGAGGCGGAGCCTGTGTTAACCGCCTTGCCTTCCCACACCACACGGACCCTCTTTTGCTGCATGCCTTTTTGGAGAAGAGTTTTGCAGTGAATTTTTCAAAAAGTTCTTTTTTTTTTCCCCCCAAGAAAGAAGGCTTGAGACAAAGCAGCTTCAGGGTGCAGGGAGGGCAAGGCTTCCCACAGTGCTCTGGAGTGCGCACCTCTCTGTCTTCATGTGAAATGTCTCCTAATTAAAAAGCGCAGACTCTGTACGGACACTGAGTCTTTTGAGCAGAGACCCCGACTCCAAAAGCGGTTATTATGCGTGGATGTGCTGCGCGAATTAGATTTCTGCGTCTTGACTTTAATGGCCCTGTCTAGATATGTGATTAAGCTTTTGTTCTTTGTCTCAAGCTGACTGCCCAGCGGAGTTGTGTGGTTTTAATTTCATCTGAAGTGCAGTTGGAGAAGAGGCAACAGGCACAGCCTACAGCTTTTCTGTCTCTCGCTCGGTTACTGGGACCGGTATTTTTCAATATTTTCAGGTCTCGTTAAACAGTTGGAACGATAGGAAATTATGCTACGAGAGGGATTTTTGAGTGCCACGAACTTCTGATTTACAAACATATGACATGAAGAGGTACAAGGAGTGACTTTTACTTGCGTCTTTATCCCCTTTCCCGAAGGGCAGAGTTACAAATATGCAGCCTGTGAGAAGAAGAGGAGAACACGATCTGATATCAAATTGTAGGTCCCTATCTGTGAGCATCTGTTACCATGACAACCGACTCATACGCTGGAAAGATCCAAGTATTTAGGCAACTTAACTAAATGTTTTTGGCAGTGTGAGAACTAAGTATATTTTCAAAACAGACACATGCCGATCCCATTCAGTGACCTGGGTGACATAGCAGCGAGGCATTGTTGTGACAACCAGGGGTTTTGCACAAAAGCACATAGCTTAGAATCAACAGTCTCCGCCAGGAGGGCAGGGGCCGCGGCTGCAGCTCCTCCCTGCTGTGGGAAAGACAGTTCTAACACAGGGCCTACAGCGCCCAGTGCCGAATGATACCACGCTCACCTTCTCCCCATCTTCAAACCACCAGAAAGGGGGCACGCTACGGTCAGAGGACACCAGCATGGAAAAGCGCAGTTCCTAATAGAAGCACAGCAAGCATGTGCCGGGGGTTTATTTTATCAACTATATTAAAAATGACCCTTTCCCCCTCCTTTGGGTAATGCTATAGAAATCTGCTCTTCTCTGCCTGTTCAGTTGGGATTGTAAACTTCTAGAGTTCTCCCCTTGTTATCAGGCGAGGAGGTAGAAAATAAAAGGCAAATAAGGAAAAGCAAGTAGCCACGGGTTTGGTGTATGCATCTGTGTCCATGCGTGTGCACACGCATGTGTGTTCTGCCCGTCCTGACCTCGCTGCTGTGGTTGGAGATGCCCCTTCCCACCCAGTTAAAATGCCCCAGGAGAACCATCTAGGGAGGGTGGGAGACCGCCCCTGCCCACAGGCTGCAAAGCTAAGTGTGACCAGCAGAGGTCTCTGGTAGGTAAAGAAGAAAAGCTACCAAGGTGGAGGCAAGATGGGGACAGCTCTGGGGGACCTGAGAGCCTTGCCCAACTTAGAATAGTGTAAACCATAGGAAGACAAGGAGCCCTCAAGACCAACTGAACGCCCCAGTCTCTAAGCGTGTAACTTCGCAGTCTCTGGCTTAGCTGTCCTCTGCCCTATTTTGGCCACCCTTGTTCTCCATGGCCATTCTTGGTGATGTGTCAGCATTTTCCCTTACTGTTTTTAAAAACTGTATTGTACTTATCACTCCCCCATCATAGTGCATCTAATTTTGTTTGCCATTTTAAAATTATTGGGCAATGTTTTTTTCCCTTTTCTTTGATTTCTTTTTTTTTTTTCTTTCTGCCCCCGACTTTCCTCCTTTGGAGAAAACTACATTTAGTACATTTAGTAGTTTTCTGACTTTACCTTATTGATTTAAGAATTTCTTTGTTTTTCTTTTTTATTCTTATGTTTATTTAATTTTAAAACCCTCTTCACCATCAGGGAGTCTTTCCCCTTCTGTTTTTTTTTTTTCACTTTAATCTAAGTAACTTTACATTTCATAGTACTTTCTATGGTTGTTTGACCACTTTTTGTGGTCATTGATGATCTATGAGAGAGTCCTGTCTTTTGTGTGGTAAAGTTCTTGCTGTTAGGACAGGTTTCTTTTCTCCAATGTAGTTTAAAAAAAATAAGCAAGATACAAGAAAAACTCAGCAAGAAAATAAGAGTTTTGAAAAAAAAATAAATAGCAATGTTGCAAATGAAAAGTTCAGTGAATCAATCAAAACATTCCTGCACAGTGCACAGTGTCACCATAGCCAGAGAGGAAGAAAGGGGAGGTAATGAAGACAGAGACTTAATCCAGTATGCCAATACCAAACCTACAGTTATTGTTAATCACAGTTGAAAAATCAAGAAATTGGTTTCATGAGAAAATTATAATTTGTTGAAGTATATCATAGTCTGAAACATAAAAAAATAAAACATGTTCGTAGGGAAGATTTATTAATTATCGCTGTTGCGTTGATGAGCATTCTTTGCTTTAGACTTTGATTAATTATTGCTGTTGCGTTGATGCATTCTTTGCGTGGCTTTTAGACTCTGATGCATTTCCGCTCGAATGTGGATGTGTTTTTTTTAAAAAATAAAACAGGAAGAAAGCATTCCAAAGTTTGAGTGTGAGGGATGTCCAAGCTACTCCCGCTTGAAAATAATTTCAGGAGAATGGCTTTGTCAGATGTCAAGATTTGTTGCAAATGTGTAGCAATTAAAAGGCCATTATCGTGAAATAGCCCAATGGAATTGAAGAGAAAGCCATGCATATGGAGGCCTGCTGTCTGATAGTTTACCTCATACAGCAGAACACAGTAGAGAGTGAGCATCACGTGGAAGCTATGGAGAGCAGGAGCCCGCATGAGGTAAATAAGCCCTGGGCTCGAGTTGGCTGCTTTGCGTAGTGTTATCATTATTATTAGTGCAGATTGGTGATGAAACTATGGGCTAATCTTTGAATCATGATAGTGTGACTAATAGCCTCCCAGGACAAAGAAAGTTGACCCTTACCTCATACCGTAGACTTACATAATAAATTACCACACACCAAAAGACTTAAATATAAAACGGGAAACGGTGAATGGCTTGGCCAACGAAGGTCCCGAGATACCAACCCTGGTGACCTGAGTCTGATCTCCAGGCATAAGAAGAGGTTGTATTGAGAAATAAGTTCTGTTTATCTAAGCACCGAAACAGAAGCCAATCAAATAAAAATCAATAATGCTCCACATGGGAGAAGACAGAGAGAAAGAATCTGGGAGGAGTTGGCACCCAGCAAGCATCTCAATTAAGAAGGCAGATAAAAGACTCAGAGAAACTCATTACCGAACAGCCTGCCCTAGTGGTCGCCAATGAGGATATAGGACAGTTGTAGCACGATTAATAAAACCTCAGAGACCGAAACTGGGCTTCAACCTGAAGGTTCGAAAAGCAAAGCAGCCAGCTACTGGCTCTTACCTCAACCTCAGTCCGAAATGGCGATCTTGCCTCCAGGAATCTCAGAATGAGACTGTGTCTGAGAGCTGTCTCCTCCTGTTTTATAATCCTCTCTAGGGCGGGGATTAAAGGCATGCACCACTGGGATTAAAGTCATGCACTGTCCGTTTTCTATGGCAACTAGTGTGGTTACTGGGATTAAAGGTGTGTGTCATCATTACCTGGTCTGTATGGTTGACCAGTGGCGCTGTTTTACTCTCAGATCTTCAGGAAAGCTTTATTTGTTATTAGCCGGGAGGTGGTGGCACACACCTTTAATCCCAGCGCTTGGGAGGCAGAGGCAGGCGGATCTTTGTGAGCTCGAGGTCAGCCTGGTCTACAAGAGCTAATTCCAGGACAGGCTCCAAAGCTACAGAGAAACCCTGTCTCGAAAACAAACAAACAAACAAACAAACAAACAAAAAAACCACAATTGAAATGCCACTACAGACGTCATGTAGTCAAGAAATGCAGGTGAAATTGAAAAGGAGCTAGAAGTAGGAATCTCTTTCCCCCAAATTAAGTAGTATGTTAGTCAGGTGTGAAGCAACTAACATCAGAATAAATTTGTATATCTCTTTTGAACAAGTAGGTATTGTGTGCTGTATATAAATGTGTGCAAACTTTTATGATCTGTCCATTCCATCCCCAAATGCCAACCTTGAAAATCTTTGCATATATACTCAAGGAGTTAATCCTCAAGAACACAGAAGCATTGCTCAGAAAACAGCAAAAACGAGCAAGTCCTCTCCTGGGGAGCACAGAGTGAAGGCTTAGGATGTAACCCTGGATAAAAGAAATGGCATGCACTGGCTTTTCTGTTTGGAAAGGTGGAGGAAAATGTCTTGGGAAGTGGTGGCGAAGGCTGATGGATATTGGCTAAGATCATCATGCTAAAGACGTCTACCGGGACCCTGTCTGCATTAGTGTCCTCCGCCTCCTGTATTGCCCTTCTCTTCCGCAGTGTGAAACTGCCACCGGCTGCTCTTTAGGTTCTAGCAGCAAGACCAATAGAAAAATTACGGTGACCAAGTGTTTAGTGAAGCTAATCTCTCTTGTTTAGGTGTTCGGAAAAGGAAGTGCATGGTGGTCGATATCAGCTTATCCCAAGACACGGGAGCTGCTGGCCACACACTCAGTCTGTGCCCTCAGGGCCTCACTTTCTTCTTCCTGTCTTCACTTGGCTGCTCTCTTTGACCATTAGGCTTTATGCTCCTGTTAGTCCCTGTCCTGTCTGCTGTTTTGTTCTTAGCACCCTGGGCAAAGGCTGGTAACCTCATAAACACTTAGAAAATAATATTCGCTTCATGGATGGATGGGTGGATGAATGATTGAGAAGGAGAAATTTCTAAGACAACTTTCCTTTTTTTGAAAAAAAAATCACATTTCTTTCCCCTTTAAAATGCCTATTATTGTCTAACTTACTTTCTCTAATCCTAGTGCACGTGATTTGATTTGTTAGTAAATTAGTACATATTGGAACGGGAATAACGTGTTTGTGCTAGGGCATCCAAGAACTACTGGCAGAATAGGGGGACTGGCTTGGATCGCAGCACAAGGAGCAGAGAGTATTCTGGAACCCATTTGGGGGCATCAAAAAACTAGTGAGAGCACTTTCCAGGAAAACCACCCTGTCCTCAGCCCACTGAAGGTCATGGATGCCCAAAGCCGCAGTCTGTCCACCTCTGTCCACCTGCACAGCTGTGCTTCCTTACGCTTGAGAGTACCATTGTCCGCAGACTGCCATCCTGTTGGGCAGACGTCATCCGTCACAGCTCTGCTTTTGATGGAAATGGCAGCCGTGTGAACACAATTGCTATGGTGAGTGGCTAGCATCATCTCACTGGAGAAACCCAGAGAGATTCGCGCATATCGGATTCATATTATGGAGGTTTATAATAAAAACGATGTAAAGTATTAATGTTGAAATAGGAGGGACCCAGGCATTTCATGGAAATTTTAATGAAGGTATTTTTTTTTAAGGGTCAAAGATTGCATTTTTATTTTTAAGAGAGAATTTCACTTAAAGCAGAATCATGTTGCTGCCTTTTCCTTCAGAAATTTCTGTTCTTAGATAGCACATCTTCTGGTTTCAGAAGAGCCCATTTGAACGGTACAGGAAACAAGAGAAGGAGTGTTGCCAGACCCTTTGGAGGGTGGGTTTGCTTTGCATGGTTTCTGAACCTCTGCCCATCGTTTCTGAGGACATTCCCATGATGCAGTCCAGTCCTTTAAATCTCACGGAAGCTCCCTTGGTCTCTGCTCACAGCCTCCCCAGGCCATGGCTTCTACGGGGCAGGGGTGCGTGGAGTAGAAATGAATGAAAAGGAGGGATGTATGAGGGGCCGGAGGAGGCAACAAGGTTTGGATTGTGCATGGAAACATTTCTTAAAATAACTCACATTGACGCTGTTCCGCTTTTCCTTCTTTAAAATTATTTATTTATTCTATGTCCCAACTGAAGCCCCCCGCCCCCCCGGTCTGTCTCCTTCCATCCCCTCCTCCTCCTCCCCTGCCTTCCCCCTCCACTTCTAATGATCAAGTTTTAGTTGGAATGTTTGATGCATGGAGAAAAAAAAATCACAAATTTTTGTAAGATTTGGCTAAAAAGCTTGTGTTTTTGATTGAATTCTGTAACCAGAGTCTGCTTGTTCATTTCTTGGCTGCCCAGATCTGAATAATCATACAGAAACTATATTAATTCCAGCACTGTTTGGCCAATGCTTCATGCGTATGTCTAGCTAGCTCTTACATCTCAAACTAACCCATTTCTATTAATCTGTGTGTTGGCATGAGGCTGTGGCCTACTGGTAAGGATCTGGCATCTGTCTCCTTCAGCAGCTACAGGGCATCTTTCTGACTCCACCTACTCTATCTCTGTTCTGATTTCCTGCCTGGCTTTCCTCTGTCTTCTATGCCATTGGCTGGAACAACTTCTTATTAACCAATGGTAATAAAACATAGTCCCAGCACACGGAGGGGAATCCCACATCAGAATTCAACAGTAACATTAAACTGTGGCGCCTTGACTGACAGATGGGTCAGCAGGTGAAGGCACATGCCGCCAAGCCCAACAACCTGAGTTCTGTTCTCAGGACTTAGGTGATGGAAGAGGAGAAGCCCTGGGTTGTCCTGTGACCTTCATATGCATGCAAGAGACACCTGCCATTCCCCACCTGTAATAAATATTTTAAAACCCCAAACCTGTAGTGGTTCATAAGAAGCTGGTATAATTTCTTAGAGAATAATATCTTGTTGTACTACGTCAGACACTCAACACCTACCCAGACGCCTTTCTGTATCTTAAGGTTGGTCAACATGTTTGGATGGCATCAACACCATTTTCATATTGTAAACCCCTCCCTGCCGTTCATTAGTGACTTTAGAATCTTTTGACATCAATTTCTGCATTAATAATGGTCACAAGATAACAATCACCACATTCTATCGGGAGTCCTGCAATCTGGATAGTATTTCTAGAAAGAGCTTTGCCATTAATTAGCTGCTTTCTGCCGGCCATAGGAAAAGAAGGATAGAGAGTTCCTCAGTTTTTAATGAGTAACTGTTGGGTCACGAGAGTTATGCTGTATATCAGGACACCCAGTAAGCAAGCACATCCAGGTTCCACTGTCGAGCTGTAGCACGGGGATACAGTTGATAAATAAGCAGCCACTAGATGACGTGAGGTGGAAAGTCTGTTGGAGCTCTCTCTGAGTCCTAGCTTGAGGTGATTGTTATTGATGAATACTTTCCGGAAAGTATTCATCTGCTCGAGAGGCTATGAAAGCATCACAGATTAGATAACTCAAATGGCAGAAAGTCAAATCATAGAAAATGATCAAAAGCCTGTCTGAGAGAGTGCAACTATTAATCCTCGGGCACTTTTGGTTGGTCAGGTTGAGCAATGTGTGTGTTTGTTACCGTGCCTCGTGAAGGAGTCTGAGCATTGACCTTGTTGTTGCTATTATTCCCATTTCCTGATTGAAGTACGAGGAACTTGGGAGGCAAATGATCTGAGCTGTCTTAACAAACGAGAGCAGGGTGCAGGGTTTGAATCCAGAGTTCATGGTCTCACCATAATATTTTTTCTGCCCAAGACATTTGTGTTTTATAAATGGTCTTTGCAAATGGTTTCCCGCCAATGCAACTTGGTGAAAACAACATGGGCTACAGATCTCTCTCTTTTTTTTTTTAAAATTCTTCTCCATCACTCTTTGTCCTGTGATATTGGTCTTTTGATTCCCCTGGGCCATCCTTTCCCAATTCAGAAGGCAGAAACATTTCCCTTCTTGTGAGCACACTGTTGGCGTTAGGTGGATACCCTAGCAACACATCTGAGTGATGAAATTCGTGATAAATATTCACTAGGTTGCTGCCTCTTCCCAACCTTAGGCATGTTCTCATATGGGGTAATTCTCAGAGTGTGTGTGTGTGTGTGTGTGTGTGTGTGTGTGTGTGTGTGTGCAGACATAAAGGCATAAGGGCAGAAGGCCTTTAGGAGGAACTTAGAGCTATTACTCCCAAGCCCACGGATCTGACCCGGCATGTAGGATTTTCATCAGGTCCCCTGCACAGCCCTTTATATGTTCATGATGTAGAAGAAACACAGGGAGGTCCTTTGTGGAAGGTGGGGCTCTAATGGCGACTGGCGTAAATGTATTTCTGTGTGAGGAGCCATGCTAGTCTTCCTCCTCTCACCTGTCAGAGTGGTCCTAGTGTCACTGCACACACAGAATTAAGGTAATGATAGAAACATAACAAACTCCTAGTGCTATATACACTTACTTTGAAATCCAGCTTTAGGAAAGAAAATAGAATACTATTTTTTTTTTTTTTACATTGAAAGACAAATTTCGTCCTGGGTTATTTATAATGTCTGCTGTCTCTCTGTCTCTCCGGGGTGTAATTCTCACTTGTTATTAAAGAAGGCACTGAGGGTTTTGAGTTCACTTGGAATTTTTAGTTATCACAGATCGGGTTTTTTTTTTTCTATGAAACTCATTAAATTTTAACTAGATTTTTAACTAGATGCACACTTTCTGTGTTCCACTGCGGGGAAGGACATGTTTGGAATATCTGTCAAGTATGTTGTTGTTACTCACAAAAATATGTCTAGTTTGAAGTCCTGGAACACAGATCTACACGGAGGCCGCCCACGTCACCCAGCAGCACGCGGTGGAAGCTTTACGGTCAAACAGAGGAGGCCAGAATCTTCTCAGAAGTTTCCTGGCACAGTAATACTAGATGGCTGGTTTGAAAATTTCCCCATTCAACTCTTACTAAAGCGTTGGTTGGGCGGGGGGAGGTTGGGATGGGGAAAGAAAAAAAAAAACACTTATCTTAAAGATTCATGATTCAAGCGGCTGATAGAATCTGCAGTTTCCACAGTGCTGGGCCCTAGATTTCCCTTTAATGTAATTAAGCCTCAAGATTTATGAATACAACAGGCCAGAACTTGATCCGTGTTCGTTTTCAATTACTGCGGTGAAAGGGCTCTATCCAGATGTCTCTATTTATAACATTCAAGCAGGCCGGGCCAGGGGCTGGGGGGGGGGGGCCCAAATTGTCAACTTGTTAATTCTCCACAGAGGGTACTCAGCCGAGGTCCTGGCTTTGACCCTGGGACAAAAGGCGAGAGGCCCTGGGGGCGAGGGCATCAATGCTTCCAGGGACAACACGGTGAGCCCCAGGGGTCACTCCCTCTGCTTTGTAGGTATTTGTGTAATAATGGGGTCCATTCCTTATTTTTTATTTCTGTTACAGTTCTGGGAACATCGAAAGAGGGGGAAAGGAAAAAAAAACTGGCTCGAATGTAGATGTGAAAGACAAACAAAACATTTATAATGAGAGCATCAGGTGTCCCCTGGCAACAGTAACCAGGATAAAATGCTACAGGGAAACACACAGTATGCAGTGACCCACATAATGGGGCCTATTTTGGGCTCATTGTTTTATTTTTCTTTTGAAGGGTGTTGTGTCATTTTTTTTTTTTAATGTTCCCAGGTCTGCAATTTAGTTTTGCCAGGATTATCAGAACCTGAGTGTCTTTTCTCTTGCTACCGTTATGGGATTATTTCTTTAGGGAGCAGGGTTTTCAACCACCAGAAACCCACCTGCCAGGGAAGTCGAAAATATTCCATTTTCTGCCCTTTCATTTTTTTTCTTTCTTTTGTAAAAGATTTCTGTGCTTTCCAGGACCGTGCTACAGGTTTCTCAGACATGTGCAAGTGTTCTCTTACACGCATGTGGATGTCTGCACGGAGGTATCATTTTAAAAGGAAAATCCCAAACAAAAGATTTAGAAATAAGAGCCCAGCGGGGGACACAGACCCACTAATGAAACAGACCCCATCCAGCAAAAAGCCCCGAATCCTACTCACGCTTTCTCTCGGCGGCATGTGTCCAGTCCATCATTTTATTTTCTAAATTCACAGCCCCGAGTTGCTACCTTGTGAACAAGAATGAGCTGGGATATCACAACGATAATTGGCCGTTACGTTAGCACGTGGCTCAGTCGGAGAATGGTTAGCCAGTTCTCTTCGAACTCAGAAGTCAACTTCTAAAAGGGACTGCAAGCCTTCTGGGTTAGTCTCTTTAAATCAGTTTGGGGTTTTCCTGTCTTCGAGTCATGACCTTTGCAGGACCCAAATTTATTTCAGTGAATTTGAATAGAACAAGGGATTGTTCAAAAGTCGAGCTTCTACCAGGTTTATTCCGTTGCTGGCCTTCAGCATGACACCTCTCTTTTCCTCCCTTTATTTAAAAAGTTATTTAATAATTCAGTACCAAATCTAATCAAGTTCGAAAACTTCATTATACAT